AATTTTCCTTTTCATTTCTAACTTTTAAATATGTATCTTTAAAATCTCAATAAAATATTATGAAAAAAAAAGGAAAGAGCACATGTTTTGCGTGTTGTGTAGAAGCCATGCTAAACTTGTTATATATGCATGCTATAGTGATCCCAAAGCCTTTTTTGCATGCTGGAGGTCTTAGGTTCAATTGATTGATTGATTATTTGCCAACAGTTAGGTATTGATGATTAACAACCATGGAGATAGATTGTCTCCAAGATGATTTATCTTCAACTTGACCTCAACACTCCTTCCATCCTATAGATTCCTTTAAGAACTCCAAAGGAGTGCCACCAACCCATGTTAACTACATTGAGTTCCATTGGCCAATAACAATGGGAAGAGGCAGCTTACTATGAATGGAGGAATATTTTCTAAAAATAATGTCATGAGACTGTTGAGGACAACTGTGTAATTGATGCTGATTTGATAGTAAAAATCATCTTTTATTTTATTTAACACTGATATATTCAATATATTATCATTTTAGCATGAATTATGCCATTCTTTTTGGTAACTGGTTCAAGGGTTATAGAAGAAACTATATCGCTAACAAGGATCTGACTATAAATGTATATTTTAAAAGTATTTGATTTACTTGTTTCAGTTAAAAATAAGGAAGGCCTCCTGATTTTGCTCCAATTTTTTTTTTTTTTTTTGTCAGAGCAGAATTATGGCATTTGCCTCTGTCATGTCTACATTAACAGTGTCAAGCATTCATACATTCACAAAAGATGTTTACATTTATTTTATTTTTTTTGCAAACATCTCAGGACCTAAGTAATGCAAAAATGTCAAAAACCCCACTGAAGAGAAATCGTTTCAGTATGGACCTGATCTGTAGCAATATCAGTGCATGCTTTATTTCAGCAAGAAAGAAAAGGCCGTCTTAGCCAATGCCAAAATATTCTGCAGGATGTTACACAACTAGCAGGGCTTCTGATAATGATTGCAATTGTTGTGCAGCTTATACTGGAGAAGGCATTCACTCAGGCTGTTGAACCCATATTGTTAGAGCCTTCTATATGGGCAATTATTTCCTGGCTAAGCATTTCTGTACCTGACTGGAAATATAGTGCATGAGAAGGTGGTGATGTCACCACCCTTCCTTGCATTAAAAGCCCAAGACTCTTATAAGGCAAAAGTGATTCTCTCCTGCATGTTCACCTAGCTTGCTCTGTAGTACCTTTGAGATCAAAGAAGTACCGCCATACCAGCATATCTGCAGACTGGTTATAGTTGGCATTCTGAACAAGCTCTGCAAGGTTGGGTGGAAGATTGATTGCTTGGTCTTCTGCTTGTTTCTGGAATGACCGGATGAAATCCACACCACCTTGAGGCTAGAAAACACACAGTAAATACAGTAATACCTCGGTTCACGAACACTTCTGTTCACAAACAATTCGGTTCACGAACAGCACCATTTGCAAAATTTTGCTTCCGTTCGCGAACTCTGCATCAGGTGACGAACATGACCTGCGGCCATTTTCCCTGCTGTGACGCGTGGTCGTGGCTTCCTGTAGGCGAGGGGGCCTCCCCCTCAAAACAATAACCGCCTCCCCACCCGCCTTCCTGTCCTCCACGTCAGAAGTCGCCTCCAGCAAGGTTAGTGTTCTCTCTCTTCATACTGTACTGTACTGTACTG